ATTGAAACTGGATCCTATTATCAAAAGCGCTTTAATAAACGAGCGTCGACGTTACATACAGAAACACGATTACGTAAGCTTTTCAGCTCAAGAACGTTGAGCTGAACGAATATTTAATATTTAAAAAGAAGAAGTCTTCGTCTACAAACAGTAGATATGTATATTCGTAAATGTAAATTGTACATCCATCTCTTTCTTTTCTTTTTTAATTTTATGTTTAGTACATGATATTGTTATAAAATTCTATTTTATTATTATAAATTAATAGCTAAATTTATAATTCAATAATAAAAAAAGAGAAAAAAAACAAAAATATATTATATATATGTATATGAAGATAATGCATATTTAATTGTGTTATAATAAATAAGAAATACATACCATCGTTCAAAGGTTTACTCGAACTGTTCACTATGTTCATGAAGTTAAGTCCGTCTTCTGTATTAATATTTTCAAGCGTTGGCGGTATCATTTCTAATGGAGTTCCTTCCAGAGCATTGAATATTGGCGTCGACTGTAGAGTCTCATCGGTTTGGGTAGGTGGTGGACTTGGTGTTAATAGAGGACAATCAGACGCTTCTTCATCCTATGAAAAACAAATGCTTATATGTGAAACAAAATTCTCAGAACGAGTGGAGAGAATTCTCGTGGAGAGAACAGAAAAAAGCCATTTTTTTTTCTCTTCAATTGCGAAATATTGTGCTGCATTATTGCTCTTTTTAAAAAATACATTATCATTGTATCTTTCGAATTATTATATTATCATGTAAATTAGATTTTAATCATGGTAAGAATCATATCAGATTGACCACCGAATTAACAGAACTTTGGTTAAAAAAAGAATTTCTAAATTTATTTTTTAAAAATAAAAAATGCTATAGTAATTCTAATAGTAAAAAGAACACACCTGTTGATCTTGATTTATAAACAGCTGTCGGGAATTCGAAGACGGCGGAAGTTCAGATGATATAACAATCGATAAAAGGTCTTCAGGCTTCTGGATACTCATCTCTATTACATAAATACTATATATTGTATATTTTTATATAAATTTTTACATACGTTTTTTTTTAACATGCAAATCTGAACGTAACAAATTGTTGAATACATGTAAAATAGTTTAAATAATTTTTCAATATTTGCTATCGGAAATCAAGTTTATGATCTTATAAAATAATGGTAGACAAAAATTATTATTCTACATATCAAATGTTTTATTCATAGGATAGAGAGAATATTTGTATTTCTTTTTAAATATATATATATCTATATATAAACTCAATATTCTGTAAATCTAAATCCGGATAGATGCACGTATTGTGCCTACACATGCGATGTATAGAAAGAATATACAGGAAGGATGAGTGGGTGTTATCAACGTATTTTTTATTATTGCGAATCTATCGTTTGCAGGATGTTACCGTTTGAGCACAGTGCTTACGGTATTTGACGATCAATAATAGAAGCCGGCTGTCATTGCATCATCTGATCATAATGTTGCCAATCTTAAATAAAAAATTTTATTTTCTAAATTTTGTATTTATGGTTAACTATCTTTCTTGTATAAAGAGATAATAGAACAGTTTTACTTAATTTGTTTAATAACTTGTTCTAAATAATAATTCTTAATAATACTTAATAAACTGTAATGAGACTTAATTTAATACCTTCTATGCAGCAGTTTTAAAGATTACAAATATATTTCAATAAATATTACCAATCTAGGCATTTAAATTTAAAATGTCTTACTCGGAGATTAGTTCCATTCTGCAAAATGATAATAAACGGCACATATATTTGCAGCCACGAGGTTGGCATTGAAAACCGAGACACAATACGAGCAAATGACTTTGAGTTAACGGTGAATAATCATAAAATTTACATTGCCTTGACTTGGAATACGTCGCAATTACAACAAATCAATGGGTAGGTTTTCAAAATTTCTCGGTCTTTTTTATATGATTTAAGAAATTAGGCAGATATTTGTTGAAACGCGTTCATAATAATATCAATAAAAAAAGAACTCGTAAATTATAAATAAATAAAAGAGAAATAATTTTCTAATCCTAGTCAAAATGATGAAGAATAAAATTTAGTTATGTACATATAATATAGTATATAAACTCTGTAAAATCTATGAGTTAATATTTTAAATTACAACATTATTTACAGAAATGATAATTTTCGATTATAATTTATTTAATTTAATAGCTTATTTTTTCCTAACACACACAACAGACATTAAACATCTGAAATATATAATTTTATAGATATTTTGTAGATCATTTTTGATAGATCTTTAAAATATTTCAAATACAAACAGTACATATTCATTAAATAATTAAAAACTTATATTTAAATAAAGCTGTTAAAAATATTTACTAATTATTAAATATTAATTAAAGAACCAATTTTTACAAGTCTTAAATCGAATTCTTCAAAATTAAATATAATCTTTAGTTTTTTAAATATATACGCATGATTAAACTATGTGCATAAAGATTATTTTAAAAGACTCTCACCTACTGTTTCAGCGACGATGATAATCGATTGAGTTCCGGTAAAGAAGCTCCGTCAAGAATATCGCAAACCCCCTGGCGAATCGTACCTGGGGGATCCGTCGTTCGCGGACGCACCTGCCTGGGAAAGGCTCACCACTTAGTTTTCCACGGTCGATCCTCGGAGACACGGGATGCACAACAATACTTACGCGATTACCGTCGACGAAGGTGACGGAAGGTCGGCAATACAAACGTCGAGGGTCTCAAACGGCGACTGTCGTCGCCGTCGTCGTCGCCGCCGTCATGCTGCTTCGCGTGCCGTTGCGGATCGTAGTAGAATCGCGTGCCTTCGTATTATATTTAGCGAAGCTGTATCGTTTCGTGTTCCCCCGCTGGCCGACCGACCGCGCCGTCCATCCGTCCAGCAGCCGACGTCCACGACCTCCGAGCGATTCTGCGCTTTGACGCGGCATGCGCATCAATACGTCACAGCGTCGCACGCCGCGCACCGTCGCGACGACGATCTTGGTATTGAGGGTGATTTCTCAGATAGTTTTCAAATATTACAGAAAGTTAAAAAAAAATTCTGTCATACGTTATCAATTTGGAATTTATTTTCAGATGCAAACAGAATCTTTTGTAACTTTTCAAAAAAAGAATTTTTTTAATCTGAAAATGATTTTGGAATCGTAACAATTGAATATTTGTCTGTGGGGGGGGGGGGAGGAATTATAAAAAGAGAAAAAAATTCTACCCCAATGACATTCCGGCGGTCAGAGGAAAAATTATGTTAATTTTTTTAGAATGGAAATATAAAAGTGAAAATTTATTTCATATTTTATGCGTGTATATGTATATGTACATACATAAAAATTTTTACATTTTATGTTTCCGTTTTAAAAAAATTACACGATGAAAAATAATAATCAACACTCAATATCAATTTTAATAGACAATAACAAATTTTAGTAATAAATAGATATATATTATCGCGGAGCCAGCCGCGCGTTCATTCCCACGAAGTGACTCTTTCTCTCTCTCTCTCTCTCTCTCTCTGGCTTTGAATCTCTCAATTTATAAATTAACAATTATTTCAGAGGAATAAATCTTTGTTATTAATCTTTCCGAAGTATATTGATTTTCTGTACAGCTGATTCAACACAAGTCGGTTTCTAAAATCGGATTTACAGCGCGGATAATTTAGCAACCATGAACGATTCCATTCAAAATTCTTACTATTCGTTGTTGTAGCCATATTGAAATAATGATATAAATTCTTTTCTTGTATTATACGCTGAAATAAAGTGTTTTAACTAAAAAGAAATTTCCAGATTCAATTTTTGGGTACCTTTACATATGACAAAAGTTGTTAAGTAAAAAAAAATATAAATTTTTAACAATATCTTTTTATAATTTATATTATTATGTATAAAAGAGTTATAATCTTTTAGATCAAAACACAAGCAAAATTCGTTACTATAAGATATTATTAATAAGTAAAACATATATTTTTTTCTGTTTTTCTAGTTTCTCGATAGTGCTTGTCGCATCATGTTTCTCTATATATACAACATCTTGTTAAAAGGTGATCGAACGAAGTTCCCTCGGGAAACACCGCGGAGCCACTAGCAGTGTCGTGATGACTCTTTATCGCTCTGAGGAAAGTCCCTGGACCCGTGGTAGAAAGTGCCGTAGCTTTTGGCTATCATCCTCCGTCGTCTTCGTGAATTTCAGGAGAGGAAGCTTCGGCTGATCCTTCGCGACGGACGTGAGAGTGTTTGTCAAAGTAAAGTAATGTGTGTTGGAACGTTTTCTTGCTCTTCTAAGAAGAAATAGAAATACGTTGAACCGAACAGGGCTTACCGTACGAGGAAACTTCGACTTTTTTGTTTTTGTCAACCTCAATTTTTCTCTTCACGTATTATAAATCTTGTTAATTTCTACTTAAAAAAATTATTTTTTTAAAACTTATTTAATATATTAAAAAATTGAAACTCTGATACTACTGCGAATCTTCTTAGCGTATAGTAATATATCTTATAAACTTTGTGTAAGTGTAACTTGAATATATTAATTATAATTTATAATATATAATACACATTTATTATTAATAAATCTAAATGTTTTGTAGACATATACCAATAATATTTAAAACTTAATTTCCAATTGAAAGCTACAAAACATAATATGTTGTTATCATACGAGTTTGAGTTATCCATCGAAATGGTCACTGCAGTATTATATATATCCACAGTCGATAATATCGAATATCTTCAATTACAAATAAAGATAATTTATTCAGGTTTGTGATTATCATTAAAATCTATTGTGTTTAAATCAGATAAATATTTATAAACTATTTAATAAAAAAAAAAAAAGCAGATGTATCAAAGTTCATTCGAGTGAAAACATCCTCTCTCAGATTTTTTCCGATCCCTCTCATGAGGCGCCCTCTTCATGCCTCCTTTCTTCTTTACGCGTTAAATCACGGTGTTGCGCGATATTTCGTTACGAGTTCCGTATCCCGCAGTATTGATGATTTCCATTTTAGGAAATCTTTCCCGTTTCACTATAGCATGATCACGAAACGACCGAAATTGGGCTTTGACCGAATCATCAAGAAAAGTCTCAAAGTAGTCATTCTCTTCGAGGCAACACTATTGTTGGTATCGTACGGATTTTGGCGTCGCCTGGAGACTTCGCAAGGTGAATTGCTCCGCTTAGCCTATAGAACCTCGCCTCCGTTCCTAAACTGCTCCACCTAAAGTTACGTTACTACCATCCGGTATTCTCGAATAATTTTAATTCAGACTTATTCTATAATAGATTATGCTTTATATGTTTGATATAAAACAAACACAACAACGCGTTAATAGAGAAACGGCAAAAGAGTATAGCTTGAAAAGAGGATCTCTCAGTTACTTTCTATATTTAGTGTCTGGCAATAAATATGGACAGATTGTCGAGATTTTTCTGTGTGAATGCATTAGTTCTGTTCTTTTTGGTGGAACTTCTTGCATGGTTCACCTCTTTTCTCCTTTTCTCTTCAATGTGAAAAACAAGGAAGAAGTTAAACCATGCAAGAAGTTCAATTAAATAAGGCTACGTTTACACCGTGCATTTAGGCCGCGGCCTATACAATAGATGTCCTTGTTTATTCTGTAGGTTAAACAAAGACACCTATCGTATAGGTCGTGGACTAAGCACACGGTATAAATGTAGCCTAAAACAAACTTCTTGATTAGATCAATACATTGATTTCTCTATGTTTCATGCACATTAGATTTTAGATATTACATGCATCAACGTTTTCCAAGAATACTGGAAGGTTACTACACTATCGGAGAACAGTTGTCTGGTAGTGATCATTTGAGGACGTTTGATTCCAAGACCTGGACAGAGGAGAGCAATGAGCATTAAATCTTCATGGCGTTGAGAATTATCGGAATTACCATAGCGGCGGTAGCTATTGGCGGTGGAGTAGGAAACGCTTTATTTAATGTTGTTAAGACCGACGAAGAAGATCTTAAAAGGGTAATCGTAATTATGTAATTGTCAAGCTAATAATAGAAATGTTTTTTTATTACTTTTATATGAGTGCTGGTAGCAATATTTTTCTCCTCAATTGTATGATATATTTTTCAGTAAAGAAAATAATCAACGATATTTACTGAACATTATAAAAATAATTTTACAAAACATTTCACAAAAGTTACATTTTTACTTAGAAATGTAAGTAAAAATGATATAATTTTTTGTATTTCAGCATCTTCCTCCATATTCATCAGAAAAACATAATCTTTTCTTCCCACAATATAAGAAAAAAAGTGATCAATATATGAACCAAGGAAGGTCAAACGAAGGTTTGAAGAAGTTTGAAGCTCAAGGCAGTTACGATACTAAGAAATAGCATTAACTAAAATGGATCCTACGGAGTTTATAGAAGAAAGTTTGCCAGATCGTATCACAAAAAGGGATCGGGAACGAAAAAATGTTATCGAAAGGCGAAGAGAAGAACGACAATTGCTCGCCGTAGAATCCGAGCAAAGCAGCTACTTTAAGGATATGTTCTACTCTTCTTGTAAGAAGATCAAGGATATGCTAGACGATGCACCCAGCACGCCGTCCTCAGCGTTACCAGGAATCTTTGAGAAGTCAAATAAGGAGATCCAACTACTTAAAAACTATTTGTCACAATCTAAAATGTTTCTAAAAGTTTACGACATAAGACGCGCGCAAGAAAATTTACAATCGTTAGAGAACCAAGCTTCCGAATTGGAGATGAAACTTTTGCCTAAAAAGAAGTTTGGCTTTAAAAATCGTAGAATCGTAAAGAAGCCCTCTGATAAGGGGCTCGACATCACAGACGGCTTGAAAGATCTCAAGATATCTGAGAGTATTGTGAACGGCTCGACTAAGCAAAACAATAAATTGTCGAGCAAGTACGGAGATAGTGCCTGCATGCTCCTGGGCAAGGTAAACGAACGTATAGTGTTGGATGCCGAGAATGTAAATAAGAATGATATTCTACTTTCCGATCTGATTCGCTGTACTATAAGGATATATGGTACACCGAGCACCCTGCATATGGTAAACCTGAAACAATGCACTGTATTAGTCGGACCAGTGACATCTTCCGTTTATGTGCACGACTGCAGTGATTGTATATTTGCTTTTGCATGTCAGCAGCTGCGATTACATTCATCGACGGACTGTACCATTTATTTACATGTCACAAGTAGGGCGATCATAGAGGATTGTACGAAGATACGTGTAGCACCTTACAACTGGTCTTACGAAGATCAAACAAGTCACTTTAATCTAGCCGGCCTTGATCCAAAGATTAACAATTGGAACTACATCGACGACTTCAATTGGCTATCTAGTGAAAAACATTCACCGAATTGGTCAATTCTTGAACCGGAACTTCGGATAAAAACGTGGGATTAAAATGAATACTTGTAAAATAAAGAGGAAAAGGGCAATTAAAACTAACAGTTGTAGTGAACATTTTATGGAACCTACTTCTTCTTTTACCGAATATCAATTTATTTGCGTAAATAAATCATCTACATATATACCATGCTTTTTCACAAGATGCAAGTTATATATGCAAATTTTATACATTTACGATATCTAATAAATTTACTGTTTGTCCAATATTCAGTGTCCTGTTTTACAAGTCAATAACTTTGGAACACTTAATAACTTTGGAAAGATAATTAGAGGGGAAGAAAAAAAATATATATATATATAAGAAAGAGAGAAATGATGGTTTTATTTAAGAGATTAAAAATTTTTTTATAAAACTCTGAAGTTATATATATCTGGGTTTGCTTTTTAAAATGGGACAACTCTTATATGTTGTATACAAGTATGTACATATTATATTTTTCATTTTGCATCTTTTAATATAAAGAATTGTTGGAATCGAACTATTTCTTTTTTCTCTCTTAAAAAAATTTTTTAATTAATATAATCTCACGTATATACAATCATTGAGATTAGTAATATTTATTTAATTTGAATTTGTAGATAAAACTATATCAAAACTTATTTGCATGTTCTCTTATATTTTCCATTTATTTCTTTCTAACAACATTGTTTCAATATAATTAAAATTAAATTAACGTATTTATGATTATTATATTTATATGAAATTCGCAATTACGTTTTATTTCAATATTAATATAATTTTAATATTTAAATTTCTAAATACTTTGTATTTGCCATGATATCAAATCTCGCAGATCGACGGTCATACACACAATATGGCGTGTGTCTCGTTTTTTTTTTCCTGCGCTGTACGAAGAATAATCTCGAGCAAAGTATCCAATCCAGTATATCCAATTACTTCTTAGCTCGTAGTTATTGGTTACCATATGAAATGTGAATTGTCAAAAAAGCGCTGACACCACTCGTGATGTCATTCTCGGTATCGCCTGAGGTAACGCGAAAATTTCTCGATAGCTAGAAGTGCTAGAACGAGATACGCACCAACGCCGGGACATCTGGTAACGTCACAGATTTCATGGTTCTCATATTTATGCGTCATCGTCTAAATAACAGGCAATATATTTTGAAGATATTGCAATCTAAGGAATGAGTTTCTTCACACTACAAAACGTGGATAAAATTTAACGCAGAGAATACAGTGTCATGTTTTCGGTTGCCTGCAAAGTTTATGGTTCATAAAGTGCAGTATATTTTGTTGAGTATTCCTCTCGAAGTTTGAAAGTACTCACGCGAATAATTTGTATGTGAAATTGAATTGATATGGCAATAGCGTAGTGCGATCATCTACATAGGAAAACATTTGCAACTGTAACGAGTGTCAATTGCGATTTTAACAAGGTGTGTCTTTTGAAACATGAGACATGAGTAATATGTTTACTTTTTCGGCTATGCCGTCCTGAACCAATAAGCCCTATTATCTGCACACCCCACTGGCTACATGAGTTATTTGAAATAGAACTATATATAATAGAAATGTTGCATGAGTGACTAATCAATTTTTTTTATTTGATTTTAAATTTTGTGCATTCTATTGTACGGAATAATGTCTAAACGTATGCGCAAGAGGTCACAAAACATAGTGTGCCTTCCAACAAATGACACAGTACATGAACACGGTGATCATCTCATCCTTGTTTAACATTGGTGAACAACAAGGATATATTGATACACTATGTCATTTGTGTCACTTGTTGGAAAGCACCTATAAAGAAGGCATATTTATAATACTACTTAGTCGGTATGACAGTTTTTCTAACCTCCATAATCAACTTTAACGCTTAATATCTCATAATCAGTTCGCGTTGCGGCTTATTCTGTCAAATTCTCTCATTTAATGTGAACAAGCCTAATTTTATTGATTTTTGAGGTATTGTAGCTAAACTGTATGATTACCGAAATATGTTTTATATTTATATATATATTTGTATATAACATATATAAAATTTGTATAACACCTGCCAATTTATATTTTATTTATATTTGATATATTATGGCTTTTCAGCACCATGGAGTGGCTATTTGGCAAGCGTATTACTCCTGAAGAAATGCTCAGGAAGAATCAAAGGGCATTGAACAAAGCGATGCGGGATTTAGACAGAGAGAGAGTGAGAATGGAACAACAGGAAAAGAAAATTATAGCAGATATAAAGAAACTTGCAAAAGATGGACAAATGGTAATCTACAATTTCTATTTAATTGCTATTTATACAATATTTTATTATAATCTTTTTCAAATTATAATTATAGGATGCTGTAAAAATTATGGCTAAAGATCTGGTTAGAACAAGGCGTTATGTGAAGAAGTTTATGCTAATGAAAGCGAATATTCAAGCTGTATCTCTAAAAATACAAACCCTACGTTCTCAGAACACAATGACACAGGCTATGAAAGGAGTGACAAAAGCGATGCAAAATATGAACAAGTAAGTGTACTATGATTTATCAATGTATCAATAATTTTACTAAATTAAATTATAATATCCGCTCAAATGAATTTTTTCAAATTAAACTTAATATACCTCCCCGGTCAAGAATAAATTTGAGTTATACTAGTTGTTAGAAATATATATATAAATTTATTATAATAATAATACCGGTATATACGGAAAGTTTCGACTTCACAGAGTCCTCAACAGCCACAACCGAATTCTTAAAATTAATTTAGTATATTGCGAAGAATATCACAAGTTGGCGTTTCGTCCCGGCTTCCACTACTGGACTCATCAGTAAGGTAATGTAGTGGTAATGTAGTGTAATGAGTCCAGTAGTGGAAGCCGGGACGAAACGCCAACTTGTGATATTCTTCGCAAAATATACTAAATTAATTTTAAGAATTCGGTTGCGGCTGTTGAGGACTCTGTGAAGTCGAAACTTTCCGTATATACCGGTATTATTATTATAATAAATTTATATATATATTTCTAACAACTCTAGTATAGCTCAAATTTGTTCTTGACCGGGGAGGTATATTAAGTTTAATTTGAAATCAATAATTTTGTTTTTACTTATACTTATTTTAACTAATATAATTACTAATTACTTATAATTATTTATTTAGCATATGTATTTTTTGAATATCAGCTAATCTCTATTCCTTATTTCTATTTTTTATAGACAATTAAATTTACCTCAAATACAAAAAATATTACAAGAATTTGAAAAGCAATCAGAAATAATGGATATGAAGGAAGAAATCATGAATGATGCAATAGATGATGCGATGGAAGATGAGGGAGATGAAGAAGAAAGGTATCAAATTTTGTTTTAAGAATATACATAAATTCTATAGTAGGTACATTCTCTCCATTTTTATTTAAGTAATGCCTTATCAATTCTTGATTGATTTTGACAGCTTAAAACTGTACTTAAAACAGTTTTAAATATAAGAATGAACTATGAATATTGGCCTAAATATATATGAAATAAGGTCTTTATTTCATTGCTTAAATTATTGGATCTTTAAGTAAATGTAAAGTTTAAATTATAGATAAAATTATATATATATATATATACCGCATTTTATTTTTCTAGTGATGCTGTAGTAGCACAGGTATTGGATGAGCTGGGTCTACAGTTGACAGATCAACTCTCTGGACTACCGCAAGCATCTGGATCGCTAAGTGTAGCCGGTTCTAAGCAACCGGTAGCTGCTGCGGCGGGTAATGAGGAAGGTGGAGGCAATCTTGCAGATGCTGATGCAGATTTGCAAGCTAGACTGGAGAATCTGCGACGCGAATAAATCAAGTTTTTTAATATTATTAGTTAGATAATGTATAAAAAATGTAAAAAGAATTTTGCTTTATAGCGATAAGAACAGTTTGGAAACGGTTTCTCCTGTCTTCAAATATATATACACTTAAATGTATATGAATTTTTAAAAAGAATTATTTGCATACAATTTTCTTGAATTAGTCTTTGTATTTTTTATGCACGTTGAATTTTATAAAAACTGCTTGTATACAGAATATTCTCTGTAAATGCCTAAGTTTTTGTAGTATATAAAAAGATACTGTATAATAAAATATATGACCACAGAGAAATTTTCTTTATTTGAATCAAATTAATGTTTGTTATATAATATATATATATTACAATTATAATTGTAATTAAGATTCTCTTGTATATCTAGAATTCTAGAGAAAAGATCTTCAATATTGAAGTTGATGAGGGTTAGATTGAATAATTACCAAGTTTAGATATAAATATACATTTTTATAATTCTAATATATAGAGAGAGATTTATGTGTATACATATGTATGTACTACATAAATCCATCATATATATCCCTGTTCTAATCACTCGATAAGTTCGATAACGACAATCGAAAGATAAGTATCATAGCGGTAACTTATCGACGCGACTCTCATTTGGCAGCGATGACTTGCAGGAATTCTCGAGGTTGGCGACACGGATGTTCGCGCCAGCCGGTATTCGCGCGTCAGAGATAGATATTTACAACTAAATTTCCTTGATTGGGAGAAATTGATCCGTCTAAAGTAAGTGAAAAGAAAAAATTAGGAAAGATATGCCAAGAGACGAAAGAAAGACGAGGGAAAATAGTGATCCTAAAGGTTTAATTGAGAATTGAGGCCATTGAGGCTACAGACGTGTGGAGGGTCAATGTGCCACCATATAAAACTTGAGAAGGAAGAGAGAGAAGAAAGATAATGATGTAATGAATTATCTCGTGAGCCGTTTGTCACGTTCGCCCTTCAAGCTGCGATACATACATATGTATATTGTCACTACGTCTACGCTGCCGTGAGGAAAAATAGCATTAAATAGCACGTGGCATCGAGATAGTTCTCTCGACACAGCACGAACTAATTGGATGCCTAATTGACTTTGCCAAGAAGTTTGTCGAGTGAGGACACGTCTCGAGATCGTCGAGACCACGGATGAAATCCTAGTGGTTTCATCGCGTGATAACATACGATCGGATCATGATACATCATACCCAGGCGGAGGTTCGTGACGTTCGATAAAATCACTCAAATTCACAAGCGGTACGTACTTACATCTCAATGTCAACATAGAGATACTTTCTCTTCAGGTCACATTCAAACACTTTACCGAATATTAAACAAAGATAAAATAATACGTAGGTACACCGAATAAAATTTACAAATTGACAAACATTTTATTCTTGATACTCCAGAAAGTAACAAAGATAGAATGGTGCTTGCGTCAATTTGTCATCAAATAAAAAGTACTTGTAGACAAGTTTTTTAATTAATTGATCAATTACATTATGTATAAATTGATCTTTTATGGAGTAAAGTTTCCTTTGTACATAATACGATTGATCAATCGATGAATTAAAATCTCAATTGTACTCTCGAGCAAATTGTATATTTCTGTTTACCAAATGAAATGTACAACTTAATGTGTCTGTTTTCTAGAACACTGACTATTCAGTTGGAGCTCCTCCTTGAACAAGATGAGTAGTCAGTTACAGACTAATTTGATCGCCGCTGCTATCGGAGCGACTATTGGCGTCATAAGTGCGGCTAGTATTTTTATATATCAGAAGGTATTGGAGAAAAAAAAACAACATACCATGAAGAATGCCCATTTGGATGAAGTTGATCGTCGTCTCACCGAGTTGCAAACGGAATTAGAGAGATTGAGGTAATAGTAATCACTGTTCTTTGCTAATTGATATTTTAAAAGGTTTGGAATGCTCCTAATAAAGTATTTCATCTAATTCAACTCCTGCTAATTCTGATTAATTAGATACTAATAGTTTATTCAGATGTTTATATATATTTATATATTTATTTATATATATATATATATATATACAAAAAAATTGCCTCTGTTTTTCTAACTTAAAAAATTAAACTCTGAATTTAATTCTTTTCCAGACATTACATATATGATTTTTCCGTTATACAATTTTTAAGTCTAAAAATATCAGCAGATTGAAAGAACACATTTATATTTCTATCTTTTTTATCAGGATGAGGATCTAGAAAGGACACAGTTTAGACAAATATTTTCTGGAAACATCTTAACGCGTTTTTGTTTAATTTAATCTCATTAATATCTAATGTCTATCATTTTTAGAGCACAACAAAATCAGCAAAGAAAGAAGAAGAAGCTTAATTCTAAACGTGATAATGATCATACATACACTACAACAGATAATGATACCGATGTAGATGGCTTTTCAACGGCAGGCGACGAAGAATTTTTCGACTGTTCGGACAGTGAAAATGGTATAAGTGACATTGAAAACAGGTCAGTTTAATATCTCTATCGTTCAAGTGTATCGCCGTTATCATACTATAAAGTGTAAATTTAGTTTAATGTTGCGGGCAGCATTATTGCACATCAAATCAATCATTTTATATCAAAGATTTTTTGCTTGTACATACAAGTTTAATCTACAGGCTTTATTTAAATTATAATTGCATGTTAAAATTTGAGTTTGCTTTATGTCTTTATCTGGAATTATAACTCGAAACTTAAACGGAAAAGATTATACGCTTAGTGATGCAGGACAACTGAAGCCACCTGCCCTGGATTAAACCTTTCCATTTTCGATGAGCATCACAAACAAGGTGGACATGAAGAAAATGATTACCTTGAACTACGAAATTTCGTAGACATGTATCCAAATAGTGTAGACATAGTATGGAGATATGCCAGAAGCTGTTACAAATATTCAAATTGCACCACTGACGTAAATGTAAAACAAGCTGTTATTTGTGCAGGTATATAACTGAAATTATGCTTAATTTTGTATTATGTTAGTCATTCATTTAACAGAGACCTCATTTGCAATGAATTATTTTAGGAATTGATGCTTGCGAAAAGCTTCTCACTACACCAGATGCATATCTGCACAAATGGTGTGCTATACTTGTAGGTGTAAACGGTGACTTTTTGCCACTAGCGGAGAAAATAAAAAATGGTTACCGTTTCAAGGATCATGTAATGAATGCCTTGGAGATATGTCCAAATGATGCTGATCTGCATCATCTACTCGGCAGATTCAAATACGAGGTGGCTAACTTAGGTTGGATAGAAAGAAAGGTATATGTTTCATAGTTTGATAGTTCTCAAGATAGTGTTTACATGCGATTGATTATTAATTAAGATTTGCTGAAGAATTCGTAACTCAAAGAAAATACACATAGTGAGGTAGATTACATAATACTATGACTGATTGTTTTCTTATGTAGATTGCTGCGACATTATTTTCGGAGCCGCCAAGTGCCTCGTATGAAGATGCGATTAATAGCTTCCAGAAAGCAGAAGACTTTTCGGTCAAAGTAAATTTGGAAAACAAGCTGTATTTAAGTAAATCTTACATAGCACTGGGAAACTATCAACTAGCCTGTCAGTTACTAGAGAAAATTTGTGACTTATCAGTTACGAGCAAAGACGATGAAAAGATACAGAGCGATGCTCGTCAACTTCTCGTCAAGTACTCGAGATACCAATAACGGACGCATTAATTTTTATAGATCTGACAATGTATCCATTCCATATATTACAAATACTTCAATCGCGTGATGAACATAACAAATTCGCGGCTGAGGACGGGAAAAGAAAAAAGTTATGAGTAATTCTAATTATAGAAGGAGGGAAATACACAATACACAGTTTTACTATGGACGAACTTTTATACAGAAACTGTATAAAGTAACTATTACTTGTCTTCAGAGATAAAAAGATACACAAAGCGGCGCGGGATGTTTTAGGAAATAACTTTGTGATGAAATACATTTTAGAATTGTCATTTTATTGTATAAATATTGGGCCTACCATGGTTTATTCTATTCGTTATATAGACTTATAAATTTATTATGTTGGTTTTATCTTTCTATTGTCTGTTTCTTAATAAATGATACAACATGATAAATATTATTGAGTGTAATTATTAAATGATTACGAATTTTCATCAATAACTATGATTCTTTCCTAACTTTTGGAGAGCTCTTCATTCTTTCTTTCCCTCCTTCCCCCCTCCCTCCCTCTCTCTCTCTCTCTCTCTCTCTCTCTCTCTCTCTCTCGCGCCTGCTTTTCCTCCTCTTCTCTCCTACATAGAAACATAAGTTTATTTGCAAGTATGTATAGTAAAACAATGTGTGTGTGTGTGTGTGTGTGTGTGTGTGTGTGTGTGTGTGTGTGTGTGTGTGTGTGTGTGTGTACACACACACATTTTTTGTATAATGTATTTTTTTATGATAAAATATTTAGCAATGTGAAAAATAAGTATATTAAATCTAGATATTAAAAAGCTAAGTGGAATAAAAATATATATTAATTATATAAGAAAGGTAAGTTAAAATATCAGTTACTGATGTTTCCAATCTCTTCGTTGAGATTGTACAGCCTCTATGCTCAACAGATCAATAATGGTCCAACACAGCATCCTTTAGCTCGGTGGTAGAAGCTGGGTAGAGAGCGAGGGTGAAAGGGGTAGAAAAGAGAAACCCCTCTAATAGAACCAGGAGGAAGCCAGTAAAGACACAGAGTTTCATAAGGAAACAGTCAAGATCCAATGCCCGTACAAGGTGCTTCAATTGCACGGTACACATGTAAAAGTGAGTTTTACGGAAACAATGTTTATAATTTTTATTTTTTTATCGCAAAAATGTGGAATTAAATCTTTATTTTTTTATGCATATCGGATGAGACATTATTACTAACATATATTTGATCTCTGAGAATAGACGCAAATCATGACTCGAACCACGATGTGTACGATTGTTAATATTTTTGCTCTCATGTGATGTATTCCATATTATTTCCAGAATACCCACTCTCAGACTGTAATGCGCGGATTTTTGCGTGGTACGTTATACTGTGCTCTGTGGTATGGTAGTATAGCGGCAGGTTTTTTATTTATCGCTTGCCCGCTCTTGCCATTGTTATTGTTTAGTCCACCGATATTTCGAAAATGTGGAGACCTTCTATTTTCATGCTGGGAACTTTATCCTACCGTAAGTATTTACAAATCTTCTTAATTGTACAGATTGAATTTATGATTTAATTAATAATAAATAATGATTCGCACAAAATACATTGAATTAATTTAAAATTGTTCGTAAAAATCTAATTTTTATTTTGAGATATTTTTTTACAATTTTATTATTTCTATCTGTTCTCTATATATTTTATACGTAGACGTATTATTGTTTTAAATTTATTATTTTAAATGTTCCCAACGTTTAAACACTTTTAAGAAAAGATTTTCTAAAGTTTTATTTTATTATATATATATATATATTGTTTATTTATTACATATACATATATATTTTAAAATAAAATTTCAAATTCGTTAATTAATTCTGTTAATATTATCGCTTTTGTGGAATCTTAGACTTTATTCTAAGATTGTAAATATTTTTTAGGCTCTGTTGAAGGCGTTCGGTGTAAAAATCTATGTGTCTGGTGATCATATATCACCTCATGAATCGGCCGTGCTCGTGATGAACCACAGAACGAGGGTGGATTGGAACTTCTTATGGGCGGCGATGTATCAAGCATGTATGCCCAGTGTCGGTTGTCATAAGCTGAAATTTATTTTAAAGGATCCTATACGACATATTCCTGGCCCAGGTAACGTCCCGAACTCGATATACGAAGCGTCAATTATTTACGAAAATATAATATGTATGCGCTCTTTTCGCTGTAACACGTCTGTAACACGTGTGTCTATAACAGGATGGATAATGCAAATGAATGGTTTCCTTTATATAACGCGACGGTGGGAAGAGGATCGGGGCCGATTGTCGCGTACGCTTGATTACCTGATCGCGTTAGATAGCCGCTCACAACTGCTGATATTCCCCGAAGGCACCGATTTGACGAAGAGCAGCAAAGAGAAATCAGATAAATACGCCTTGCAGCATCACCTACCGCTTTATACCTATATTCTCCATCCGAAAACGACCGGCTTCGCCTACTTAGTCCAGCATCTTCAGCGCGCAAATTATCTCGATGCTGTGTATGATCTAACGATAGCATATCCGGACTATATACCGCAGTCCGAGATCGATTTGATTAAGGGTAGGTTCCCGAGGGAGGTGCATTTTCATATAAAACGAATTTCATCCGCGGATATACCGGCATATGATGATTCAACCTTGAGAAAGTGGCTGGAGGACAGATGGTCCGACAAAGAGACGACACTGCAGGGATTCTACGAACGGAAGGCATTCTCCACCCAGATCTGGCCGATGGCGAAAACGTTGCCGTTGCGAATTGCGTTCGGGTTCTGGAGCATATTAACAGGTAATTAAAATTTTCCCTGTTATTCGTGGAAAATAATAACAGAAGATAAAATTTATTTTTAGGGATGGCAGTGCTTCTACTTATCATTTCCCCGATCTTTCAATTATGGACTTTGTTCTTTGCGTTATTTTTCATCGGATTGTCTATTCTCAATACGCGTTTTAATCAAATTGAAATTGGATGGTACAGGCGTTGGAAAAGTTATTCCTTTTGAACTAAATGTAACTAATCGAGAATATATTTTTGTTTTAAATGTCACTAGAGAGAATCGCGTAGCTCTTTGTCTCTGTGATAATACTGTATGTAAGATCGTAACGTTAGAAGAATAGATGTGCAATATCGTAATTTAATACAATAATTTCTAATAATGGGTATCCTTTTCTTGAAATTATTCGATCATATAAAGAGATCTAAATTGCTCCTATATAGTATTATATACTATAGTATTATATACTATTTAAAATTGGTTATTCTGAAAGCTTGAAAAATCTTAAAAGTTCTTTGAATGTATTAAATTGTAAATGTGAAATGTCTGAAACATTTAAAATTTTTAATATATTTAAGACAAAAAATCTGAGGATTAGACCAAATCATCCAATTTGTCTTTCGAAATATTTAAAATTTACAAAAATAAAATTATTTTCTATATAGATTTCTATTATAAATGTCTATAATTGCTTTTTTAATATAAAATTGAGAATGGATTAAAATAACGTATATTGCGAAAGAAAAAAGATACATTTTCAAAATATTCAAGATCTAGATTTTTCAGATTTTCAGAAATCTTTTAGCTTCGAACAATATTCGAAATAATTTAATAGCTTTGTCATATGCAATGTGACATATTTGAAATCTATCACTATTTGCAATATAATGGCACTGTTTTAATCCTTTTACACTTATAATGTCTCAATGTCGTTTTAAAAACATGATAACATGTAATAGATAAATGTATATATTTCTATAATAATAGAAATCTATTGTTCTGTTAAATTGGAAAATGTGACATTTTTATTACTCATTCTTTGCGGAAAGTAAAAAATATAATCACATTCTCTTTTCAAGATGTGAAGATCACATTTCTAATCATACAAGCATACATACACACACGACACGAACACACGTACAAACATTGACATTTTGTTAATATTGATGTTAAAGTAAAAATACACTTTTTTAACAGAAATATATTTCATAAAAACGTCTTAATTAAATATCTGTAAAACGTATATAAATTTTTTAAACTTATACTAACAAAAAGAAAACATTTTGAATAAAATATACTAATTTTACTGCAATTAATTTTTAATAAAAGTTGATACAAATAGACTATTATTAAAATACACAAAAAGAATTGTATACACAAGACTATGGTCCATTTATTACTTCAAAAATTTCTCTGTTACTTTTAAGAACAGATTAAAATATTTGAGAAATTATTCATTTCAAAAGGATATATATGATATATTGGTAAAATATTTTTCTTGTCTCAAATGAGTGCGAAAATTACATTTGTCAATTTTAATACCTCTTTCAGAAGCAAAAGATCTTCCACCAAAGGTCTGATCATTGAGTACTTTATATTACATAAAGTAATGTAATCTACATGATTCAATATTTTTAAAGGAGTACTTATGTCGCATAATTTTTATAACTCACATTAGAAAATATTTATTTTTTCTAGTATATATATTCTCGATAAAGTGTAGGTTAACTACCGAACAATTTCGAGCATAAGTAAAAGTGAATTCACGTGCCAAAAAGATATAAGCAGTCAAAATAGTTTTGTAAGAGCTCGTTCACGCAGTAGATATAGCTATAGATCTGTCGACATATATATGTGTGTAAGTAAAACACATAAAAAAAGAGGTATACTTTCTTTATGTAATTATAATGTACCTGGAATCGTATACTCGATATAAAAGGAAAAAATAAATTCTTTTCTTTCATAAGCTTTAATAAAAAATATAAACAGAGAATTATAAATTGATTATAGTAATTTATCTCTGTACATCTTATAGATTGACAAATTAAGCAAATTGTTAATAAAGTGTCTATTAAAATCTTTCTGTGCAAATAGATGTTAATTAGATTATTGTATGACGATATAATGTGCATATGTCTAAAGAAGTTACGTGTATTATTAATATTGTAATTGGAAACATGGAGTATTTTATGCAATAACAAATTTTGCGTGATGTACAATGTTTAAGACTGTAATATTACATGTGATGTATCAAGTTCTATATGTATATATATTCTGTATAAATCTGTATATCTACTTTAATCATTGCGCAATAACAAACAAAAAAACAGAAGCAAAAAAAACCTCCAAACTGAAAATGAGAGAGCGCGAGCTAGAGAGAATGTCCAAAGTGAACCACTAATGATGCAATAAAACCTTTATTGTATTGCATAATAATAGCATTTAGAGTATATATGTTTATGCTACTATATTTGTGCCATTCTGCTGTAATAAAATAAATATGTAGAGATTACTCTGAATTAATCATAATCTTATTTATTTCATTTATTATAAACATACATATAATCATTTTCGACATTTCTATAAAATATTTTTATATTTTACAGAAAAACTAAGTTTTTCGTACCTTGCACTGTTTTATATTCAACTTTTATCAATTATTAGAAAATTTCTTATGAAGCAGTTTCACAAAGTTTTAAATCCCATGACATTTTGTGCACTATTTTTTATAATAAAACGGATTAAGCGGACTTGGTATAGGATTCATTTTCAGCACACTGTTCAATGGTTTTTTACTTGCATCAAATGGAATAGCTGGACTTTTGCGAACTTGTTGAATATACTGGGATGTATGTTGGGCTGTGTTTTGAGAGAGTTCGAATATTACCCTTTTCTTTTCTGTCACAAATTTATTTAAATCACTTTGCTTCTTTATTTGATGTGTTATATAACTGTGCGCGCGCGCGCATGTGTGTGTGTAATGCATTATTATAACAGTATTAATTACAACAAGATATAACATTAAAGTGTTATTTACATTTTTTAATATTTTTTGGTTTGTAATCTTGCTTTTCATCTCACTTTCTTTCTTGGTTACAGATTTGTTAATTTCTTTTAATAAGACCTTTTTATTAGAAATTGGCGAGACAGAAGTATGTTGATTTGAAACACTAGATTTTTGTTTTACAGAAATTACTACCTTATTTGCTTTATGTTCTATATTTTTATCAACAATAGATTTCTTACTTTCACCGTTCAATTTTTTTTTTGCAGCTTTACTCTTTTTGGAAGTATCTATTCGTAGCTTTTTCTTATTCTCAGTAATATCAGATTTAGTATTAGAAACATCACAAGTTGAATTACTTTTTTTCCGTTTCTTAAATGGTACTGCGTTTGCATCTGTATCTTGCAACTCAGTCTTTGCAAGTGTATCGGTTAATTTACTTTTTGGTTTAATAGCATCAGTTTCCAAGTCTAAAGTATTTCCATTCTTCGGATCATTAATAGAAACTTCATCACAAATCATTTTTCCATTTCTTTTTCGCTTTTTATTCATCTTATCAGAGAGCAAATCTTTCTCAAACTTAATGAGACGCATTGCAGCTTTTCTCGAATCCATCTCTTTTTTCTGACAATTTGGTTTCCTGACTCTCTTTATTCCAAGCGGCATCTTTCTCTGTGACAATTTCGTAAATCTGAAAATATAATTTTTTTTTCAATAGAATATGTTAAATATAACTTATAACTTGATAGATTAATAAAATACATACTCGTCAACAAGTCTCGAAAGCTGCCTGCGTGATTTTGCCGTTGATGATGGGTGAAATTTATATGTTGAAAGTAATTCAGCAATCTTCATGGCATTAAAAGGTATTTGCGGTAGTTCAACATCTACTTTACCTGCTCTTGGATCTAAAGACTTCTCAACTTTATTTTTTAGTTTAGCTTCAGAAAATTGTTTATCTTCATTGTCAGATTCTTCTTCTGTGTCAGTTTCCATTTTTTGCATATCATCTATACGTGCGCAGGGAAAGCCAGCCTGTTTAAAATATATACGTTTATCATATATAGATATATATATGTAAAGATATGTTACATCATATATAGGAGTTTTGTATTTTAAATATATGTACGTTTTTCCAAGCATTGAATTTTTCCATGTAGTCTAAACCAATATCTGATTGGAATATCAAATATCTGAAAATATGTTGCATGATATGTTTCATCTGTCGTTCGTCATTTGTAGTTATTAAATACTCAGCAAAGGGTTTAATAAGTTCTTGGACTACATCCTCTGATAGATTTTCATTACCAGCCTACAACAATAGTAGAAATGACAATTTTTTAAATAAAAATTAAAGTTTAAATTTTAGCCGTAAGTTCTCTTATTCTGTATAAGTACTTTGGCAAGCTCCTCCAAATATATCTCTGTTAAATGCAAATTGAATCCTAAGCTTTTTACATGTAAAAAAAGTTGCGTAAATATTTTTGAGAATTCTGTCACCCATTCCATGTTCCACGATTGATTTTTACAGATTACAAACGTTTGACGAAGAATCCTCCTAACCAGCTGCAAGAAAAACAGAGAAACAACAAATTAGATTCTTTCCAAATATTTGAATACTTCTTGTATATATATTATGAGATACATATATTTTAAATAATAAAAGTACCATAGAGAATTTGTCTAGTCTATACTGATCTATACCAAACCATTCAGTAGCAAGCGTCTGTAAGGTACAGGTAGTATAAAGTACAATTGTATCTTTAGATTTCAAGCAATGTACAAGCTTGCTCAGTGACTCTGCCAGTTCTTCTTGGATCAACATCTTGTCTGACATCCACATACAGTAAAAAAGACCTTTCCATAAGCTCATAAAATCTGTCTTTGTAAATACTATAAAGAACACAGAGTGCATTAGGTCCAAAATATGAGATGTTCACATTCAAGTATATTTATATTAACTCTTTGTATAGACAATTAAGTCATTTGTATCTTATGCATTTCTGTTTTTTTGAAATGTTAAGGAAGCACTTGGTTAAAAGATGGTTTATGGCCAATAAATAAAAAATAAAGAATATTATGCTAATAATTCTGTTACTAGATTATACATATATAGTAAAGGAACGAAAAATCATCGTGTGTACTAAGAGTTAATTACGTAATTTATGTAGCATAATAATGTGCAAAAATTCACTTACCAAATGAACTCTGTGATCGTACCGTTAGCCATTTTTTGAGTTTCTTTAGTACTTTATCTCGGACTTTTTTGTCATTATTAGCTAACAATCGTGCAATCTTAATCTCTTGTGCAACAACTCTAGCTTTGTTGCTTTTGTCTTTAGATTTGCTTGCAGCACTCGACGGTAGCGCCATCTGTCGACGGCCTGGCGCAACTGGTAGCACACACAAGCAAAGCTCTTCTTCTTCTTCCTTAAATAATGGCTCCCGCCTCCAATGCTGGATTCACACTGCATCCGATTTTCGTCGTACAACGACTTTGCAACCAATTAGAAAAATTGTATCATCAATACGAAGCAAAATTTTGTTTCCTGATTGGTTGAAGAGCCGTCGTACGACGACAATCGGATGCAGTGTGAATCCAGCACAAGCCTCCAAGCAATCCCGAGATCGATACGGCCAGATCACGTCTTTAAAGTAAACCGTACAAAAATATGAAAACGAACGGGTGACGCAATGCACAAAGTCGGCAACACTTTCAAAAATATACAATGAAAAGCACCTGAATCGAAACACGTCCGTCACGGTCGAATGGTTCGTCGGATGGTCGGAACTCATAAGCAAAGCACGTGTACGTGTGACATGACCATGGGGGAAATACAAATTGATACAAATTACAAGGTGAAGCATGCTGCATTCCGTAGGATGCGCACTGCGCAGTCGTTCATGTCACGTGATGTCACGAGCCAATCCACTTATATGTCGATAATATATATAAATAGCACCAAGCCAATCAGCGCGCGATTCGAGTCACGTATCATGGGCTGCGTTCAGAAATTACGCCTAGGTAACTCTAGGCTATAGTTTACGTTACGTATATTATATCAAAAATGCACCCAAGAGTTATCTGAGTGTAATTTCTGAACGCACTCCAGTATAGGTAAGTACAGTAGTTTCACTCAAAGGCCTCGCACAACCAACAACATGGCTGACTGTAGGACACATAGATCAAAGGTACCGACACGGAGTGAAACTACTGTACTTACTTATACTGTGACTCTACTTTCCTTTCTAAATCAACCTAAACAGACTGTTTAATTCAGCAGAGAAAACTATATAATCTTAAGCCAGCGGCACACGGTGTTTGTTTTCCTGCTGGATTGCTAGCTAGATCAGATTCTTGCCATCGCATTGGCCGCGATATTGGCACTTTCAGCACCGCAGCCAATACGGTGGCAAGATTCTAATCCAGCTAGCAATCCAGCAGGAAAACAAGCACCGTGTGCCGTAGGCTTTACTGAGCGCTTCACTGATCAGTTTTCGCAGCTGATTTGTGGATTATTGTAGTTTGTAAGATTTATTTATTATATTTTGTAAGTAATTAATTTGAAATTGTGTACGTAAAATAATTAATAAACATTTTTAAGGTTTATTAATTTATATATCGATCACTATAGTAAAATCTATTCCACATTATAATGTTTTATAAATAAATAAATAGGATTATTAACTTTATTAAAAGAATAAAACAACGTATATAAGTTTGATAATTTTATATTATAATACATTAAATGATAATATATATATAACATATACTAAAATATTGACTCGTAATTCATACTCTTATTAAAAAAAAAAAAATGTAAATATCTAACAAATTAATAAAAATCTCTTCGACAATCTAATTTTTTAAATAAAATTCTCAATTTGATTAGACTTAATGCCCTAAAAAGCTCAGAAAAGTTAGATGTGCCTCTTATAATTTCTTTCGGACTAGTAGATATCCGTTTCATCACAGGCATTTAATCAAGGTATTCCACAATGTTGGTCTCCGAGTTTGACATTTCTTTTACCGCGTGTATACTTCGCCTTTGAGGAAAAAATATAATAAATAGAGTAAAGCATGGTAATGAAGTCTCTTTTAAATCTTACCTCTTATGCCATAATAACTCAAACACAAATACGATTATAGAGAAGAGTATTCCGTAGCCCATTATAACTAGCGCGAAATAGCATTCTGTGAAACCGATAGTAATGAATCTGGTCTGACTCGAACACACTGGTTTTCTCGTATATAAGCGATATTCCTCGCGATATTTAAGTCCGTATTCTCGTAATTTTAGAGCTCTGAAAATACAATTTCTAAGTGTCAAACTTTCCAAGAATTATATTATATCATGAGATGGTTATTAGTTTGTACATTTACATATAGTATTGTACATTTTTAAAAATATAACGTCAATAAAATTCGTTTTTAAAACTACATAACATTTTTATTAGACTTTAAACCTCTAGCTAGGAAGTTATACATAAAGGAGAGTGTTAAAAGAGTATCGCCGCGATTCTGGCCTTCATTAAGTACGTTATACTCGAATAGACCTTAAAGAATCATTGTTTGGGTCAAAAGATAGAAAATCGTTTATTTGAGAAGTCGTAAGAACATTATTATTAGAATGGCTTAAATATAGTAAAAAAAATGACTTTTTAAACATTCTCCTTTAATATTTGAAAACATTTACGTAAAAATAATTCGAGGTATTAAGGAGTTTTTGCAATACCGTTTATCCTAGATATGGTGGACGCTAAAGTCATGTTATCTTTTCTTTACATCTAATTAAGAAAAGGATAACGTGACTTTAGCGTTCACCGTATCTAGGATAAATGGTACTGCAAAACTCTTTATTATTTACCCAGTTTTAAATATCTCTGAATAAGGTGACTGCTTTTGTATCGCAAGAAGCGGATATAAGTGATTTAGAAAATCGATCTCAGTCAAACCGCACTTCTCCTCCTCCAAATAAGTTTCTTCAATCAGTTGGTAAACCGTACCAATCTCACCGTGAAATGCGAAGAGTTCGTTTCTTATGCGGGCTACACCTTCTTCTACAGATATCCAGTTAGCTTTGCTTCTTTTCGGCTCGATTCGCTGTTCCAGGATCGCCTTTCTAACGGGATCTCGGAAAGACTATCATCCACAAAGAACTTATCTATTTTTCAATTATATATTTTTTGCTACTAATAACTTCACATCGTAATAAGTCCAAGTATTTGATAATAAATTATATTTAAATTACATACTAAAGGTTTTCACATTATTAAATTCCATAATTTAAACCTACCGACCTGGAAATAATATTTACTGTATACTATATTGTGTACACCCATTTTTAAAGGACTATTTAGAAGATCTGGAAGAGTTTTGATAGAATCTGTGGTAGATTGCAACAATCCCACGATATTTGCTGTATAAGCCGCATAGAAACTTAGTGAGGCAAGCAATAACATAAGAGTAACTATTCGAGATGAAACTCTGTAGGGTTCATACGAATATCCTGCAAAACAGAAATGCAATAATTTAATTTGTACATACTTTTATTAAACACAAGTTTTGTGTAAGAACATATATTTTTTCAATTTAGAAAGTGTTCGATGGTAATAAAAAAGAATTAATTTCTTGAATACCTTAAATGTTTTTAAAGTATTCAAGAACTAGTTTAGTTAAAAATATTTAGTGAATTGTTTCTTTATATAACAAAGTATTCTACTTGGTAATAATAACATTTTTTTAATATAGTAAATGTTTGGTTTATGTATTTGCACGATAAAGATAAAATTTTGTCTCAGAGATTTTTGATTAATATTTGTGAATTATTTTAATAATATTTCAAGTCTATATGATTACATTATTCACAATTATTTCTCTACCTTGCTGAGAAAATGCGCCTAAAAGAACGAAAATATTATCGCTGACCGTTGGTTTGTTAGGATTTAGTTGATTCCAGTAGGCTGCTGATTTTGTCTTCCTACCACGATGGTATTCCCATTTAATGGATAAATAGAGCAAACAGAAAACCAAAAGAAGAAATATTGCAAGCGCTATCCAAACATTTCGTTGGAAAGGCAGAGTAAATATGTTGCTCACAGTCGACAGTAAAGGTCGGCGAAATACAAAGCGTAGGCTATGCAAATTTGAACATAAAATATCGATAATTGAAGTTTTATTTTCTGTCTCTCCCTAATGTTGCGTTAATAAACGCCGTTAAAAAGGCGTAGAAAACTAATTAAATTATGTTTTAACTTGATAAATAATAATAATAATCTTTTTACCTCGTATGTGTATACAATTGAATGAACTGTACAACACCGACACGTTCCGGTACGAAAAATGTGGCGGTTCCACCGATATCAATTTCACGTCGTTGCAACATTCCAAACATTCCGCTCCAGGAACCATTCTTGCTGAGAAATCCCCAGCTATTCGTGACCTCAAAACTTACCCTAAAGCAAAAATATGGAATTTTAAGTTAACCAATAAAGCAATATCCTATAACAAACCAAATTTAACTGCCATATTTTTCAATTAAATTTTTAATTCTGCGATTATTAAAAATTATATATTAACAGTCTTTATAAAAAACTACATTGATATAATATATATTGTCGAAGGTTGAACTCACGTTGCATTCATTCGATTCACTAAATGCAGTACCCAAGGATAATTAGCCTTTGTAACAGGATCTATGGTTTTATATTTAAAGTCAGTTAAATGATTCATTGTCTCTAGATCCGTCATCTGCAATTGTTATATAAAACTTGAAAGAAAATATCTCTTCTGTTAAAAAAAATTTATATTTAAAAAGGAGGCTAATCATAATGTTTTTATTTATTATGGACGTGGCTACTTTATTTATTCTACTTTTCTGTAGTATAGCGAGCAATGCACATATTACATTTGCTTATCTACAAAATACTTTGATGTTTCATTGATATTTAAATCTTAAGTGTATTTTTTTACGTGACCCACACCATACGCACGCACACGCACACATTATATACTTTAAAGTACCACTAAACAAGATTTCAGAGCCGTCTGTTGAAGATTTCTTCTTCGTGCTGAAGCTACGTCGAAAGTGCTCATTCGTAAACCATTCTCGAAAGTCCAGTTTCCACGATTTTCCCAAATTATACCTCGCTGTGAACTTGGACGATATATAGATAATAATTCGAGAAAATCGCTATCAAATCTTCGCGCGAGGATCACGTCGCTATCAGGATAGATAGCCAAATCCTCGAAGATTTCCAACATAGAGTCATTATATGTAAAAGTTAAATTGACGTTATCATCATTGTCAATTATCGTTTTTCTATCTTGAAAAAGCAACCATTTCATCGGGGCGACAAACATCCTTTTTGAATGTGCCTGTCATTTTATGTTGGATATCAACAATACTTTTATTTGCTTGTATCTTTTTAATTATAATGTATTTATTACGGATATAAAAACTATATATTACCTGACGTAAAATATCAACAGCGTAATCACAATCTAAATTCAACATATATAGATTTTGATGTTCTAAGTCATTGTAAATCTTTGGATCAAGTTCCTCATAAAAATTACGAATGTTGTGCATCAAGTAGTTGTTCGATAATATTCTTGATAATTTAATCGTGTCATCTGTGAAAGGATATTATATTTTATTTAATTTTGATAAATATATATCTTTTATACGTTAATTTTATCAATAAAGGAATATAGAAATTGTATTACATATACCATATAGAAAAAACGAGCTTATCGAAATATTAAAAAGTTGAGCTATATATTTCAGATGTCTCTATATATTATCAAATATATTGAGAAATCTGAAAATAATTTTATTGGAATATTATATATATAATAATTATATAGAAATTTCATGCATAAAGAATAATGCTGCAAAAAATTTTGATATTCCATCAATCAGTTGAGCGTCCTAAATATGTATCTAATAATTATCTTGATGGTCTCTCTCAACAAAATTATTTTTAGATTTATATTTAGCACACAGTTTTTACTTTAGCAAAACATTTTTTCCTTATACAAGGAAATTGAGAAACTCGAGTTACGAGTCCGTTTAAGATATATCTACATATATAAATCAAAATTTTAGTGAAATTATTTAACTATAATAATTTAATATTCTATTATTTGTTATAATAATTTAGTTTTCCTATTATTGCATAATTAAATAATGTAGTAAAATTAAAAAATTCTGTATTGCAAGAGAAAAAATTAATGGTTCGATATAGTATAAATAATATATTAATTGTAGAATTTGTTTAATAAATATAGTCTAAAATAAAATTAATACTCTCTGGCGAAAATATAAATACTTTATAAAGCGTTGACAACCGTTCTACGAGATTCGATTTTTTTAAAGGATTATACATGGTTATTTATCAAATATCAAATAAGGGAAAACGATGCTCATGAGCATTGCAAGCCTTAAGTGAAACACAGCTCTAGTCGTTGCTATAAATTTCGAACGTTTCTTTTTCCCTGATAAACAATCAATATAGAAATCATAAATATGAAAATCTTGCCGTAGCTAATGCACAGTTGTAGAAATACTCTTGAAGGTGGGAATAGAGCGGGTGTCGCGTTAACAATAAATTTTACGAGAACGTCGTCGACACGAAATGACGCAATTACGTCATTGCCGAGTGGCAGCACGAGGATGCACAGAACAACGAAGATCATCCTGATCACGCTTGTCTCCCCTGACTGCGGAAAAAAATTTTCTTTGAGATCATTTGCTCATCGTTTATTGTACCATAATCTCTCGATATATTCATGATTACATAGTGATTTGCGTAATAATCATGAATCGCGAAAAAATAACGGATAATCAAGGTAACGAGCGTTATTATGACTAATAAAATATTCAAGACTCGAATGATATACGCTCGTTAACGTTTGTCAATAAATTATATACTTCGCAGATATACTTTTCGAAATCCTACAATTTCTATAGCTTTTCTCGTTCTCACGAATGCATTTTCATTCTTCTAAATGTGCACTATTTGAGACGATAATAGCCGGTAAGGCAATGATTGAGTTCGTAAAAAAGAAACCTAGTTTCTTTCAATGATACACATTTAGCTTCCGAAGAATTATTTTATTGTCTGTTTTCTTATCGTAAAATAAAAATTTGGACTTGAGCACCTCTGGCACGTATCTATAGATATGTCTATAACGCATAAATATTTGATGTAGATATCCTCATGTTAAACAAAGTAATAAGCGATTATCGTGTCAGACAAATTTATTTCACATTGTTAAGCTGTATAAATGTCGTTATATTTTAATTCAATATACGATACTTAATCAAATTACTAGTAATAGCGGAAAAAGTTTATCATAAGTTTTATTTCTTATATTTATCAATGCGATGTATCAAGCTCACAGACTAGGATAATTTATTTAACTAAGATTTTTATTTAACTATAGATGAAGAAAATCATTTTATTAATTATACACAAGCATATTTTTTGAGATATATAGTTGATGGTTATCGAAATATAATGTTTATTATTTGTTACTAATTCGTAATACCAATATAATTCTATTTAAATTTTAATTATATTTGTTTGTAATCAATATTCAATACTAAAGACCGTTAATGTAAGAACATATATAACTAATAAATAATAATAGTTTAGCTTGGGAGAACATTTGTTTATAATATTTTAAGAAATTTTTTCTCTATTAAATAAATTATTTTTAACTAAAAAAAACTATAAAAAAGTGTCGTGATGAATGCAGGCAGAGGAGATAGAAAATGTTAGTTTTTCAAACATCTCATCAACTATATTTGAGAAAGATTATTTACCAGACGTTATTAATACTATTATAAAAATGGAAAGAAGCTTGCGGAAAAGAGTTACTGTTAAAAACGTGGCATGTATAAAATAACTGCGAGAACATAGCAGTATATGATATTATTTTTTTATTAGCTATTAGAAAATATATGCGCAAAATAGCATACCTGTAAGCAGGGATGTCATTTCAGGGCTTTACACATGAAGGAAGATATAAGGAGACTCCACTCGGTCTCGCCAGTCTACAAGACATGAACCCATTTTAGGTTTCGAGTTCCGTTTCCGATTCTCGACACTCGCAGCGCTCGTGAATTTAGTAGTGCTGCGCATAATGAGTGCGAGTTAAGAGAAATGATCATTTCTCTTACTCGCACTCATCAGAATCGGAAGCTGAACTCGAAACCTAAAAAAAATGAGTCCACTTTTATTTTACGGAGTGGAGTCTCCTTATATCTTACTTCCTGGCTTTACATCACGACTAGCGCCATCAGTTGGCGGCCTAGCGCGACTACTAGTCACACACACACATATAAATTTGTAAGATTTGTCACCCAGGTTAAAATTGAAAATGGCAGCCGCCTTCAGAATTAAGCACGCTATTAAATTAGGAAGATCTCTTTCAAGATTATTAAATAGAAATTTGCAGGAGAAATTAGTTCATTTACAATGCCAACGATTACCAAGTTTGTTAAGCTTTTATTTTTATCGTGTCCAACAAATATTTTACTTTTACATATTGTACACTATTTGTCATATAGTTTTTCTATAAATCTATTTTTTTTATATATATATAATATGTGTGTATTTTCCATTGTATTTTATTGATGTCAAAGCATATATAAATTATTTTCAATTTTACAGTTATTTACAATTATACACGACATTTGTCATCTCAACCAGAGGCTCAAACTACAGAGTACCATAACATTATAAAAGACACAGAGAAAGCTATAGGTAGTATATTCAATTGAAGAACTTGCTATAACAATGAGCTAATCAACAATTTGTAGATACAACAACGGAGTAAATCAATTCTAAAGTTATAAAATAATGGAAAAAATATGAGTACTTATTATATATTCGATTACATTGTAGATTAATCCACTGTTGCAGCAAGTCCTTTGATCGTAATTAAGATCATTATATCTGAAATTATTTTCTAGATAAATGTAACAGGTAAAATATATTTTATTATGTGCAGGTGAGAGTGCCAAGCATGAATTTCAATCTGAGACGCAAATGTTGCTGCAAATTGTCGCTAAGTCTTTATATTCAGATAAGGAGGTAATAAAATATGAATTTTATTAGAAACTATGTACAGTAATTACATTGATTAATCCACTAGGTGTTTGTACGTGAGCTTGTTTCAAATGCTAGCGATGCACTAGAGAAATTAAGATATTTACGTCTGAGTGACAATGAAGTTACACAAGTAGCTGGTGATAGAAGTTTGGAGATACATATTGGTACTGATAAACAAAATCGTACTTTAACAATTCAAGATACTGGCGTGGGAATGACTAGAGAAGAATTGATAGCCAATTTGGGAACTATAGCTCGATCTGGCTCTAAGGCAAGTACCATTGAGCTTATATATTTTTATTTTTTTGGTTTATAAAGTATGTATTATATATATGATTTCAAGTTTATTTGAAATAAAAATTTTAGCTTTTGTAGATATTCTGAAATGTAATTCAAAATATAAGTCATACATGTATGACATAACATATATACGTAACATTTCTATACATAGATATATACCATACATATTTTAGGCATTTCTAGAAAAATTGAAGGAAGAACAAAACTCTAATGACACATCTAAAATTATTGGGCAATTTGGAGTTGGATTTTATAGTGCCTTTATGGTTGCTGATAAAGTAGAAGTATTTACAAAATCTTTTGCAAAAAATGCAGAAGGTCTTTGTTGGACCTCAGATGGGTAATGTATAATAAGAAGGAATATTTATTATTCTCTATATAAACACTATCGATATTATTTATTTTAATAGCCATTTGTAACATTATAAGCACATCTTCACATATAGATCGGGTTCATATGAGATATCAAATGCAGATGGTGTACAGCCAGGCACAAAGATTGTTATATACTTAAAACCGAATAGCCGAGAATTCAGTGATGAAAATACTATCAATCGTAAGTACATTAGCGATAAGGATATGTACTTATTTATGTTGTTTTACGTACATTTAATAAAATCTATCTTCTCTTAATACATTCAGGCATTATCAACAAGTACAGTAATTTCGTCGGCAGTCCTATTTTTGTAAATGGAAAGAGAACTAATATGATTCAGGTATCATTTATTATATAACTTCCTTTCATTTGTTCCATTTTTATGTTTAATCTACCATAATTAAGCAAAAATATTTTCTTTTACAGCCGTTATGGATGTTTGACCCAAAAGATGTTACGCCGTTGCAAC